GAATCAAGTCAAAGATTTGAAATATGAAGAAGCAAAAAACACCCAACCGGAAAAGCAAAATGAAAAAAGAATCCAAAAATACGAAGATAGTGTAAGGAGCCTCTGGGACAGCTTCAAGTGTACCAACATCAGAATTATAGGGGTGCCAGAAGAAGAGAGAGAGCAAGATATTGAAAACCTATTTGAAGAAATAATGACAGAAAACTTCCCCTACCTGGTGAAAGAAATAGACTTACAAGTCCAGGAAGCGCACAGAACCCCAAACAAAAGGAATCCAAAGAGGACCACACCAAGACACATCATAATTAAAATGCCAAGAGCAAAAGACAAAGAGAGAATCCTAAAAGCAGCAAGAGAAAGAAAGTCAGTTACCTACAAGGGAATACCCATACGACTGTCAGCTGATTTCTCAACAGAAACTTTGCAGGCCAGAAGGGAGTGGCAAGAAATATTCAAAGTGATCAATAGCAAGAACCTACAACCAAGATTACTTTATCCAGCAAAGCTCTCATTCAGAACTGAAGGTCAGATAAAGAGCTTCACAGATAAGAAAAAGCTAAAGGAGTCATCACCACCAAACCAGGATTATATGAAATGCTGAAAGGTATCCTTTAAGAAGAGGAAGAAAAAGGTAAAGATACAAATTATGAACAACAAATACACATCTATCAACAAGTGAATCTAAGAATCAAGTGAATAAATAATCTGATGAACAGAATGAACTGGTGATTATAATAGAATCAGGGACATAGAAAGGGAATGGACTGACTATTCTTGGGGGGGGAGGGGTGTGGGGGGTTCGGGAAGAGACTGGACAATAATCGTGCACCTATGGATGAGGACAGTGGGTGGGGAGTGAGGGCGGAGGGGAATTATGGGGGGGAAAAGAGGAACCAATGTAATAATCTGAACAATAAGATTTAATTTTTAAAAAAATCTCAATGTTTGCTAGATAATTTGGAATTTCACTTTTGCTCTCCTTTGATCCAGGAGTTACCAAATAGTGTGTTTCCTATACTGAGTTTCCAAGTAATTGGCACATTTTGGCAACCTTTTAAATTATTTACTTCTTTATCAAATGACGAGCACAGAAGATAGCTTATGAAATATATAATTTATTGAATTTTCCAAGAGTTTCCTTATGACCAAGCAGATGATAAATTTTGGTAAATGCTTGAATATGTATAAAATGTATACTCTGTATTTGAATAAATATTTATTTGTTTGAGTTTGTAGATTATATTTTTAATTCTTTGATGTATCGATTTTTCCCTATCAGAGCAACTATTTTTAAAAGAGATATATTGAAGCTCTTACTAAAGCTGTGTTTTCATGAGCTTCTCTTTTTATTTCTAATAATCTTTACTTTCTGTATTTGCCTGCTAGGTGGCTTGGGGCTGAAGGTTTTATGCTCATTACACGCTCTTCATAAACTGTGTAGTAATAATGCCTTCTTTATTCACTTTGGAATTTTTATCTTGAAGTCCAACTTGTCTGATGTGAGTAGTGCTCCTCCTGCTTTTCTGTTTGCTCCCTGGTCAAAGCCAATTTTTGAATCCCAAACACATGGAGAGAGCAAGCGTATCATTGTGGCCCTGAGACCAGATGCATTGGGGTGGCAGCCTTCCTCTTACAAGTTTCCTTCAGGGAGGGTGCCCATTGGAATTCTGAGGAGTATCTCCTAGAACTGAAATGGAGGAGGTGGCACTGAACGGCAGAGGGGTGGTCTGTAGCTGATACTGGATGCCCTTGCCCACATCGACCATCAAGAGTGAGGGCTTCTTCCCATGGTTGTTGGAGTCACTGCCAGCAAATAGTCCTCAGTTGTCAGCAGTCTTCAGGGTGTGCCTAGGCTGAAAAGACTTGCCTCACCTAAGGTCGAGGCCTTTCCCAGGGCAGCCCATGTCCAATTACCAGGTCACTTGGGACTGTAAAGGCCCAGCCCCCCTCATGCCAACTTGGCACAACTCTGCAGTGCCATCATAGCTTCAGAGCCTCTCAAAGATCGGGCTGATGCTCTTATTGACTCTGTATCTCAGCCCACTTCCTCCCTCTGCCCAAGCCTTCCTTCCCTTTCATAGATGTGGATCCCCAGGGTCCTTCACACACGCATCTTTGTTTCAGAGTGTTTCTTCTAAGGAAGCCAACTCTGACAATAGGAGATTGTGTTTATGATAACGAGATGCATGCTTAAGAGTGAAGCGTCATAATATTGGTAACTTATTTTTAAATGATTCAGAAAAAAATATGTACCACGTACAAAGGGATATGGAGATAAAGAGAATCATAACAACAGATGAATCTAGATGGTTTATATAGAAATGTTGATTGTAAAATTCTTCTGCCTTATTTGGGGATTTAAAATGTTACAAAATACAAAGGTGGAAATAAAATCCCTGTATTCTATTTTTAATAGGTGTCTCAGTGTGAGCAAAATTAAACTTGAATGTCCAATCTGCTATCTTTACCTGGGAGCATGTCATTATTTTAAATCTTTTTGTTTGTTTTTCTAAGACAGTTATTTAAATCTGCATGCCTCCCTTTGAATTCTCCTCTGGTCTCATCTCATAGATTTTTATATTTTGTGTTCTCATTGCTAGTCATTAGAAATAATTTATAATTTGGATTTTCTCTTTGGCCCGAGAGGAGATAGTTAAAAGAGTAGATTTTGTATATTTGTGTCTATAGGAGTTTTGTTGGAGGTGAGGTTTTTGGTTTGATTATTTGGCTTTTCAGGTTGATGAATTCCAGTTCTCTTGCATTGTGGTCTGTGAAATGGCTTGTGGTATGTTTTGCCTTTTGGAATATAGCAAAATTTCCTCTAAGAATTCTGGGGAGATGGTTGAGTACATCCTTCCATTTAAAACCAGCTCCTGAGCCTTTGTTGAGCAAGCAGCTCTGAGGTTTAGGGCAAAAGCAAGGCCTAGTGCATCTCCCAGGTCCAGAAGGAGGGAGTTGGCAGAGCAACGTTCCCCCTCCAGGTCCGAGAGTGCTCAGGGACCAGAGGCCCAGGCCCAGGAGCGGTGGTCAGATCTGGGAATACTGGACTTAGGAAAATCTAAGGAGCTCCTGAGGGAGAAGCCGCACCTGCCCACATGCTGTTCTTGGGGCTCACTGCTCAGGCGCTCAGAAAGCTGTGGCGCTCAGTAAACAAATCTGTCCAAGCCTTTCTTCCCTGAGAAAATGCCAGTTGAGGGGAAAGAGTGCAGAGGGAGTCCTTCTGGGACCAACAACTTACCAGCTGGGGCGCCGCAGACCCAGAGCGCAAAGACTGCTGTGCTGTCCATTACTCGGGGAACTGATTCTGCCACCGATCCCCAGTGAGCCCGCAGAGGAAGATGCCAACGGGGACCTCAGAGTGAGAGGAGAAAGAACGGGCACGTCTCAGAGAGCAGCGAGTACAACCTCCTGGAGGAGAGCGAGGACACCCTCAATAGCAACCGACGATGAAAACAACACCTAAGGAGTTGTAGGTGCAGTGTGCACACACTCACGCTCACTAACACACACACACACACACACACACACACACACACACACACACCCCGTTCTGGATTGAGGGGAAATCTCATGTTCAGACTTCAGACTAAAATTCTCAAGGGACAGGAGGGTCACTGTTGGAGCCTGACCTGGAACACCAAATGGAAAAATAAAACGCACAAATCAGAAATCCACAGAGATGGGAATTCTGGGAGGTGAAATAAAAGAGGTTCAAGGAATGATGCAGGTGACCAAATACTTGTATATTTAAGTTATTCAGTGTTGGAATTATTATTATTATCATTATTATTATTGGAACGTTGGAAATTCATGAAATGAAGGACATGGAAGACAAGCAATAACTAAACAAAATAGTGGAGGAAAATTTTCCAATAAAGACTTGACCTGAAGATTTGAAGAGTTCCCTGAATCCCAAACAGAAGTGATGAAATATGATACTCCCCTTTAGGCATGTCCTGGGGAAAGGACTGAGCTCAGCGTCTAAAGAGAAAGCTTTCCAGCTTTCAGCGAGGGAGGGTAGGTAACTTACAAAGACAGACAATGAGGCTAGTATTGGACTTCTTATCTGAAATTCTGGGAGCAAACAATGATTTTTCATCTGCCACTGGAAGCAAATAATGATGTAATAATACCTACTGACTTCTGAGGGGGGAAAAAATCCTGAGGGAAAGACTATTAATATGAGACTCTAAGTACTAAAGGGTCTCAATCTGGTATTTGGAGAGATGGAGAATAAAAGCATTTCCATTTCTTTGGGGGTTGGGAACACAGAGATGTAAACGTATGGTAAATGGGCCATCTTACTGTGGAGAAATAGGTGGCATTTTTATATAATGGAAGATCATATACGCGTGATTATGTATTTTATTCTGAACGTGCACCCCAGTGAGCCAGCAAAGGAAAATACCAATGTGCCTTCCTTAAAAAGGAAAAGTAACTGCTATTCTATAGAATACCAACATCGGAAAGAAAGGAGAAAAGATAATAAGTGGCTATGTTGTCAAGCCAGCAAATTAAAAACAAGAAAAAAGAAGAGAGCGATAACAAAGAAAAGTAAATAGTAAACCTGGATTAAAGTGGAAGGAATAAAATAAAGTATATCCATTTTATACTAATCTCAAATGAGCTGAATTGTCCCATTAAAACCCAAAGTCTGCTAAATAAGATTAAAGAACAAAACCTGGGCAAGTGCTATTGTCAGGAATACTGTATTAGTAAGAATTGCATGCGTCTGAAACCTGAGTCACAGTGGTTTACACACAAGGAATTCATTTTTCCTTTGCAGCAAGAGGTAGGTAGGTAGGTAGGTAGGCAGGTGGTACTGAGCTGGGGCAGCCGCTCAGAAAAGCTCCCCTCTCCACTGTCCTTTCTGGATTCCCCTCACCCTTGGCGCCTGTGCTGGTCGCGGTAGCTTACTTGGTGGTGTGACCTCAGCTCATTCCTCCGGGATCTGAGCCCTCCCTGGTCCCAGGCCGTGATGGACGCGCATGTCCACTTACCATCAAATCGGCAACACATCCATTTACCAAGCGGAGGCTTCGTCCTGCTCTGTGCACTGGTCATGAGGGACCCTCATCTCATCCCAGTCACCGGCCCGCAAAGGCTCCCCGGCGGGGTGTGATTAGTCTGTGCAATTCCAACCCTCAGCAACCGGCTTCCGCCAGCGGAGGCAGCCTGCGCCCTGGGCGAGGTCACCCCAGGAGACCAGGGGCCTGTGGCTGCGACAAAGGTGGTTGTGCGCACAGGGGCTGAGGTTGGGGCCACACGAAGGCTCCGGGGTCTTCACGGCCTGGCAGGCCGCCCACGGGACCCGCTCAGAGGAGAGGGACGCCGGCCAGGCGGGGAGGGGCCCGGGTGCGGAGATGGCGCCCTAGGAGCGCCCTGGCTAGGCCTGACTCGCTCTCGCTGGCGTCGGCCAAGCCCCCGGGGCCACCGCACCAGACACCAAACAGGAGCAGGAAGCCGGCCTCGGTGGGTCTCCCGGGCTGTGCGCTTCCTCCTCAGCCAGAGGGAGCCGCCGAGGCGACGGGGAGGGGAGGGGAGGCGGTGCGCGGTGCGGTCTCACCAGGCGCCTCCCAACGCCGGTGCTGGGTGTTCGGCTGGATGTTGGACGAGAGGTCCTAGAGGTCCGGATCATTCTTCCAGGAACACACAGTCCAGTGGCTCTTCGTCGTTCCCAACAACAGGAATGCAACTGAAACGAACACACCATTTCTCCCCCAGCTGATGAGCGCACCGTCCGCAGGCCGGAGGCACTGGGCTGGGCTGGGAGCAGGTGCTGCACCCCGAGGTGGGTGTGGCAGCGGCAGCATCGGGGAGGGATCTGTCTTGTCCCCACAGGTAGGGAGACACAGGGAGCTGGCCCGCAGCCCCAGCTCGGTAAGGTAACTCGGTCACACCGGCGCACTCCCTCGCCGGAGGGAGAGGCAACAGGTGGGTGAAATGGGGTCTGGTTGCTTGCTCAGGCAGCTCCCTCCTGCCACCTGGTCCTCCTCTGCTCAGTCCTGGATGTGCTGGGGACACCCTCCAGGCATGCTGCCGCGTCCACCGATCTTATGAGTTGACCGATTTGACAGAATCCAGCTCCTGTGGATAGTTCTGGCTGCACAGTCATATCTCTCCCATGGTCCGGGGCCCATCCCTGCCCCGGCAAGCAGCATAGCATCTTACAGAAAGGCGTGGGCGTCCGCTGCAGATGATGTGGCCTGGCTCCGGAAGCGAGGGATCTGAGTTGTGGTTTCCCCACAAGACGCGACCAAAACTCCACTCAGCATCTTTTTTTTTTTTTAATATATTTTATCGATTCCCCACAGAGAGGAAGGGAGAGAGACAGAGAGCTAGAAACATCGATGAGAGAGAAACATCGACCAGCCACCTCCTGCACATCTCCCACTGGGGATGTGCCCGCAACCCAGGCACATGCCCTTGACCGGAATCGAACCCGGGACCCCTCAGTCCGCAGGCCGACGGTCCATCCACTGAGCCAAACCGGTTTCGGCTCACTCAGCATCTTACCTCTAACCCATAGGACCTGCTAGGTCAGATGGGCCAAGCTTGGGGGCTAGTGCATTGCAGCCTAGACCTGCTGCGGGCTCTCTCCTGCCCCGGGCCTCTCTCTATGATGGAAGCCTTCATTCCACCCAGCACTCAGGCCTGTGTGGTACTCCCAGGTTTGGACATGCTGCCCCCAGAATCCAAAGAGGTCTGCCCAGCACAGTGCTTCCTTCTCTGTGGCCAACTTGGATCCTGTGCCAATAGCTCTTAAGATGTTTGCGTATTTTCCTATCCCCAGATATGGTTATCTGTCACGGGCTTTCAGAGTTCTAGGGCAGTGGTCGGCAAACCGCGGCTCGCGAGCCACATGCAGCTCTTTGGCCCCTTGAGTGTGGCTCTTCCACAAAATACCAACTTCTGCGCATGGGCCACGAAGTTTCAATCGCACTGTACGTGTGCGCCCGCACATGGTATTTTGTGGAAGAGCCACACTCAAGGGACCAAAGAGCCACATGTGGCTCGTGAGCCGCGGTTTGCCGACCACTGTCTAGGAGGACAGCTGCCACTGCTGCTTCTTTTTCTTTTCCTTCTTCTCTTTCTTCTTCTTTAAATATGTTTTATTGATTTCAGAGCGAAAGGGGGAAACAGAGAGACAGAAACATCAATGATGGGAGAGAATCATTGATTAGGCTGCCTCCTGCATGTCCCCTACCGGGGGTCAAGCCCACAATCCGGGCATGTGCCCTGACCAGGAATTGAACCGTGACCTCCTGGTTCATAGGTCAACACTCAAGCACTGAGCCACACTGGCTGGGCTGCCAGCCTCCCCTTCATTCAGTGTGTCTGGAATCCTAAAACTGGCTCAGATCTGGAAGCTGAGTAAGAGATTGTGACTCTTGAGGAGTGGCCAACCACCTGGCCAGGAAAGTTAGGTTGTGAAAACGTGTACTCGTGTGGAAGAGACACACCACACACTTCTGTGTGTGATATGCATGGGAAACGACCAGAAGAAACACCCCAGACTTAGCCTTCCTCACCTCTCGGTGGTCAGTATGGCGGATTGTGGACGGTTTTCATATTCTTCGTGGTACTTTCCTGAGTTGTCCACACTTTGGTACCATACCAGGTGCACTCTGCCATGCCAGAAATTGTGTGTGTGTGTGTGTGTGTGTGTGTGTGTGTGTGTGTGTGTGTTCTCTTCTCTGGAGAGAGGTGGCATAACTCATCTTGGCACAGTTGGAAGTGGCTGCCAACTCTCCAAAGGGTGGGTGTGGATATCTGCATCACTTAAGAAGTCTCCCCTGGAAAGACTCCTGAATCAAGGTGGCCTCTCCCAGTGGCATGGGGAAGGGGCCCGATAGCCTGGGGAATGGGACTCTAACCAGCCCCTTATAAAGAGCAACATACAACCCAGTAATTTCACTCCTAGGTATTAACTCAAGAGAAATGGAAGCATATATCCATTCAAAGACTTGTACATGAGTACACATAGCAGCTTTATTCATGATAGCCTCAAACTGAATACAACCCAAATAGCCATTAACAAGTGAATGGATGAACAAATCGTGGTATATCCTTACAATGGAATACTATTCAGCAATAAAAGGAATGGACTGTTAATACATCCAACAACATGGATGAATCTCACAATAATTGCACTGAGTGAAAGAAGTCAGAGAGTACATAGTGTTTGATTCCATTTATATAACAGTTTCTTAAAAAAGCAAACGAATCTTTAGTGACACAGAGCAGATCCGTGGTTGCTTGGGGGGATGCAGGGGCGGGAAATGGGCAGGAGGGAGTAAGGCAGACACACGGGGAAACTTGTGGGGATGATTAGAATGGAACACTTGAGTTCAAGTTTAAGTTATAGCAAACCCCACCTGCAAGGATACTTTTAAGATATTTTTGACTAATTGTGTCCTCGGCATAAACATTTGATACCATAGATATACCATATACCTGTTTATGTACTGTGGCGTTTTGAGGGCCACAAACCACTGTAATATCTAAGAATTTTTTTTGGGGGGGGTAGAGGTGGGGGAGCAAGTACTAATTTTCACCACCTTAGGTTCAATATTGCCCCTATTGAGAATGCATGCCTATTGCATAAGAAAAAAAACAACACAAAAATTGAAGCAGGCAAGGAAGTAGTGGTATTATAATTAATTAAAATAACCTGATCTGACTCTTTGGAAACGTAGTAACACACATAACTGTGAAAAACGTCCCCCCAGCACTATGCATTAATATGGGTTAATGAAGATGGGTGGCTGAAATGAGAAGGTGGTTTGGAAGGCGGGCGCCTTTCAGAGCAGAGAAATGGTGAAGCCTTTCATGTGCAACTACAGCCCTCTGCTGGCCATTTTGGGAAACTGCCTCAGTAAGTTAAATAGCCCGTTCATTGATTTCTCCAGCATCTGTAATAAGCCATGGAGGAGCACTAGGCTTGGGTGTGAGGCTCAGCAAGGTTTAATAACGGAGTCAAAACCACACAGTGATAAATGGCAAAGCTGGCGTTTAAAGTCAGGGCCCAGACCGGGAGGAGCCTGCAACCAAGGTATATGCCCTTGACCGTAATTGAATCTGGGACCCTTAAGTCCGACGACTGACGCTCTATCCACGGAGCCAAACCAGCTAGGGCTTGCCTCAGTTTCTTGCCTTGAGCCGTCCATGGCTGCCTGCTTGGGAGCCTCCACTGTCACACACCCTTTATAAAATGTCCCTTCTTGAAAAGATCTACCTTCTGTGACCTCCACAAAAATCAAACCTCAAAGTGTGACATGGCACCGGACTTAAAAGCCCCCAAATCATCCCTAACTTTGCGAATCACCAGCCAGGGAGCCATCACAGGTTCATCTATTTGCTTTAAAATAACTCCTCACTTGAAAATTTTTGAGGTTGTTTTATCTTCCTTCTAAAGAGCCCGGACTGGTTTGGCTCAGTGGATAGAGCATTGGCCTGTGGACTGAAGGGTCCCAGGTTTGATTCTGATCAAGGGCACATGCCAGGGTTGCAGGCTGGATCCCCAGTGCGGGGAGTGCAGGAGGCAGCCAATCAATGGTTCTCTCTCATCATTGATGTTTCTATCTCTCTCTCCCTCTCCCTTCCTCTTTGAAATCAATAAAAATATTTTTTAAAAAAACTTATCAAAATTCTAACAAGTCACCTAAAGGTGAAGTAAGTTAAAAAGAAATTATGTCAGAGAGCCTCTTGTTCCTATATTTAAAACATTAAAATGAGATGACTCAGTATCAGGAACAAATTTCAATAAAAGATGTGTTTAGTTTGTAACGTTAAAGTGTCACTTCGGTATTTTTAAATTAATAATCTAAACATATACTTACTTTGGAATGCTTCATACATAGGGACCAAATTACTTGTAATTAAGGCATCATATTGACTATCAGAAGTTCTATTACATGCTGCAAAACAAATGAATTGTATTAAATCTAGCTACAAGAGAAATATGACATGCTACATCATAGTCAAATGACTATTACATACTAATGTAAATTAGCAGTACTAACAAAAATACTAAGTACTCTCCGATAGGGGCCATCACTAATACATGCAGTTTTAGGCACTTGATACCAACCTTCCTGTATTTGTGAATCTGATAGGTAGGAAAATAGAATCTTTGTAGATGCAATCAAGTTAAGGGTCTCAAGATGAAGTTGTCCTGGATTTGGGGTGGGCTCTAAATCCAGTGACTCAAATCCTTATAAAGAGAGAAAGGTTGAGAAGAGGGGAGACTCAGGGAGAAGGCCATGTGAAGCCAAGGCAGAGATCAGAGGGATGCAAATACAAGCCAAGCAACACCGGAAGCCCCCCGAAGCTGGAAGAGGTAAAGAATTCTCCTCTCTCTCTCTAGTCTCTCCTTCAGGGGGCACATGGCCCTGCTGACACCGTGACTTTGGACCTCTGGCCTCCAGAACTGTGACAGAAGGCATTTCTGTTGTTTCAAGGCCACCAAGTCTCTTACCGCAGCTCTAGGAAACTAGTATAATGCCAATATGAGTGCGTAGTTATTGAATGTGCACAAAACAATAATGCTATTCTAAAGAACTCTTCCCAAATAAAATTTTCTTAAAGAGCGAGTTTTAACTCAGTGAAGACTATGGATGACACTCCAAATGGTTGGCTCTGAGGACTCACGGACTCATGCTGAGGACGCCAGCATGGTGAGCGCTGGGTGTGTGCTCCGGAGCCCCACTCCCTGCCTGCCAGCTGAACCACTGAGCTAAGTGCTATGTGCCTCTGTTTCATTTGTCTCATGGCATCTATCCATGGAAGTACTGTGAGGGCTAAAAAGCTGCAAGCCTATACATACATGTGTATTACAATACTTTTTATATTTAAACTACCTTTGGGTGTCTGAAGTAAAACTGAAGTGAAAGGCCAGTGGGTGGGTACCAAAAGGCAAGGAAAATATAAGTTGTTGGTTGATTTCACGTGCTGTTCACGGTCCTCAGATCCCCTATAAGACTGTTCTATTTTTTAAACTAAGCCTTGAAAGTTGGGAGGGCAATATAGCATTACCCCCTTTTCAGAGAGAAAAAAAAACCCCACAAGAATTAGCTTATTGAGGCATTTTTAACAGAATTTATAGTGGAGAGTTAGAAGAAAGTTTCATTTTTATCCTTAATACTTTTAAGACAAGCTGTGTAGTTACAAATTTCATTCCCTTGTTGAGGCAAACATATATAGGTACCAACCAACATCCATGGCTTAACAGACACAATTTTATATGCCAATTTAAAAACATTTATTAATAAATTGCTCAAGTCTTTTAAGGTTTATCCTAGGGTTTGCATAAATTCAGTAGCTCTAATTGTCTCTAGATATTTTAATAAGATGTATCAATTTACTTACCCTAATTCTGTGTTAGAAATTTACATTGTAATGCTACTTGCTGTCATTAACCCTTTTCCCTTCGACTATGAACTTCAGAATCTTGAAATTATAGATCTCTACATTGATCTCTTCGGGGGGGGGGGGCGTTGGGGGAAGAGGAGGGAGAGGGGGAGAATGGAAAACTGATTAAAAAATCAATAAATATTTTATTGATTTTTTTTTTACAGAGAGGAAGGGAGAGGGATAGTGAGTTAGAAACATCAATGAGAGAGAAACATTGATCAGCTGCCTCCTGCACACCCCCTATTGGGGATGTGCCAGCAACCAAGGTACATGCCCTTGACCGGAATTGAACCTGGGACCTTTCAGTCTGCAGGCTGACACTCTATCCACTGAGCCAAACCGGTTAGGGCAGCTGTAGGTTTTTTTTTTAATGTTGTTTATCAAGTTCCCCTCTATTCCTATTTTTCTGAGAGTTTTTGTCATGACTTTCAAATACCTTGGTCAATTTGATTTTTCTTCATTGGTTGATATCATCATGTGATAGCCACCAAAGATAATTTATTCTTTAGTTTGTTAATATGGTGATTACATTGATTTATTTCAAGTATTGAACCAGCCTTGTATTTTTGCAATGAACTCTATGGTATATAATTCACTTTATATATGCATGCCTTTTCATATAATTAATAAATAATTCTATTTGCTAATAATTTGTTAAGGATTTGTATGTCTATTTTCATGAAGAATATTGGTCTGTATTTTTCTTTTTTTATACTGTATTTTAAAATGTTTTTGGTTTTGGTGTCAGTGAATACTAGCTTTATAAATGAATTGATAAGTGTTTTTGTTTGCCTTCTTGGTTTTCTGGAAGAAAGTATATAGAATTGGTGTTATTTTTCCTTTGCACACTTGTTAGAATTCTACAGTGAAAGCTGGGCCTGGAGATTTCCTCTTTGGGAGTTTTAAATTAGTAGAGCGTGGTAAGTTTTGAAAATACAACACTTAAAAAGGAATACAAAAAGATACATTAAAAACACTATAAATAAGTAAAAGTGGAATTCTAAAAATGTTCAACTAATCCTCAAGAAAGCAGAATAAAGAAAACAGAAATTAAAAATTATATCAAACAGAAAATAGAATGGCAGACTTAAAATCTAACATGGCAGTGATTACATTAAATATAAATGGTCTAAATAAAAAGATAGATTGACAAAGGTATTTAAAAATATGATTCCACTGTATATTGTCAAAAAGAAACTCATTTTAAATAAAATTATATAGGCAGGTTAAAAGTAAAAGAATGGAAAAAGATATGATGGGGAAAAAATAAATAAAAAGAAAGCAGTAGTGAAACATAAAGAAAAGTAGTTTTAAAAGGACCTCTGCAGAACGAATGTTGGAGCTAGAGAGACCTGGGCTCAATGACAGGGTCTGCTAGTTGGCTTCCTTATCACTGTAGTAATCTCAAGGAACATCTAAATGCCTCGTTTTCCTCATCTTTAAAATCGGCATGGAAAGAGAACTTACCTCATAGGCCTATTAAAGAGTAAACATGATCTGGCATATACACCCTGCTTCATTGCTTGCAGTATAACAAAGTCCTATTAGGAGCCATTACAATAATAGCAACAATTATAACAACTGCTGCTACAGAAGGCATTTTGTTAGGTTCTTTTAATTAAACATCTCAATGAACCCTAAAATTTACTGCAAGGTTAGCATTGCCATCCTTATTTTAAAAATAAAAAAATTTAATAAATAAAAGTAAGAATATCGATGCTCAGAAAAATGAAGTAAGTCCTGCAAGATCAAAAAGTATCCGGTGTAAGTGCTGGGACTAAATCCAAGAACTGCTTCCCTTCATTATTTCATCCTTTTCCAATATATCACATTATCTAGAACCTAGATGTCTACATTAATCAACTTTCAATTCTTCAGAGTTTTCAGCCCAATGAAATGCCCTTTATGACCTCAGGAAATAAATTTTGAATTAAAATTGACTCCTGCCTTCTAGTCCTGAGACTTCTTGGTGTTTTTCTGGAGTTTGAGGCCAAGCTGCATTCCTGCAGCTTCCGGATGGCTCATGGACTCTCCAGCCTGTTTTTGTGTTTAGTGGCCCTGGTTAGAGTTTACCAGAAGCTAGGCTTGAGATTCCAGGGGCCGTGGGTGCCATCAGAGACAGATATTGGTTACCAGGGCGAGGCAAAAGTAGGTTGAGATTTGTTAGTATGGAGAATACAATAATAAATAATAATACAAGAATAAACTCTGTGTTTCATGTATTCATAACTGTAAATATACTTTGCCACACCCTGTAGACTATATTGTTGAGATTCAGAGACAGTGTGGATTTCAATACGTATAGGTACACTATATAGCACACTCCTGTACTATGTACCTAGACATAGCCCAATATACCTAAAAAAGTCTTCCCCTATCTAATTAGAAACCCTGCACATCTTAAGTGAAAATCCAGCAGTCACATGCCCCAACAATTCCACTTCTAGGTACATATTAGTACCTTAAAACAATAGTTTTCATCTGGGCATCCTAAAAGGTGTTTGGAAATATTTGGGTGGTTTGGTTGACACTATGACTGAGGGTGCTTCAGGCATTTGTGGGTGGAAGGGCCACAGGTGCTAAACACCCTGCAATGTGTCAGCGAAAGGATAGGAAGAAGAGGCTCATCTGGAAGGCCAGGAGCTCCATTGCAGAAAAACACTGTCCCAGAGAAACGTGTACATCTGCAACCACATGCGTCACAAACATTTTCATTGCAATATTGCATAATTTTTATAAAATTAAAAAAAAACAACCAGAAAGCAACAAATCTATTCATGATAGGCTAGATAAATAAATGTTGGTATGGTGATACACTGGGGAGAAATATACACCAATAAAAATGAATTTATCTCAGTTAAACACATCAAGAATGTTGTATCTGAAAACAATGTTGAATAAAAAATGGAAAAATATAGATACCAAGTTATATAAGGTTCAAAAACAGAATTCAGCAGGGATACACATATAAGAAGTAAAACTACAAAGAAAAATAAGTGGACGGTTAACAGAAAATCTAGGATAGCAATTACATCTGTGGAAAAAGAAGGGGCTGCCCTGGCCGGTTTGGCTCAGTGGATAGAGTGTTAGCCTGTGGACTGAGGGTCTGGGCTTGATTCTGGTCAAGGGCACATATCCGGGTTGTGGGCTGGATCCCCGATGGAGGACTTGCAGGAGGCAGCCAATCCACGATTCTCTCTCATCATTGATGTTTCTCTCTCTCTCTCTCTCTCTCTCTCTCTCTCTCTCTCTCTCTCTGAAATCAATAAATATATATTAAAAAATAAAATAAGGAAAAGAAAAAGAAGGGGCTTACATTTAGAGAGAGTAAACTTTATAATGGGTCATGAATATATAAGTATTGCTTTTATTATCTTTGTATATATGTATATACATATAAATTACTTTTTATAAACTAATTTTCAAGAAACAGGCTTGAAATGGTTGCATTAGAATGTTAGCAAAAGTGATGTTTTGGTGTAAGGATCATAGTTAAGATTTTTTTCCTTTCATTTATTTTTCTGCATTCAAAACCTTTTTCAAGTATCTCCACCACTCATCATTTGGGCCTAGCCTTCTTGATCTTCTTGATTGTATTATTTTTCTTTGTTCCCTAGTATTTTTAGAAATAATATGAACCTTGACCAAAATATAAAAAGTGATGAAAGTGAAAGAGAAACAAAATCAAAGTAAACATAAATAAAAATAAAAAGTAATAAGTTACCACAAAAAATATGTACAAGTTGAATTCACATATCTATATAATATATAAGCCCAGCAACTGGAATAGCAGAACGATCAGAATGACTGGAATGACCAGTGGCTATGACATGCACTGTGGCAGCCAACCAGCCTGATCTGGGCCCTGATCAGCACTCCCCAGCTGGCCTGGCCCCCAATCGGCTCCCAACACCCCAATTGGGCTGGGCCAGCAGGACCCCACCTGTGCATGAATTTGTGCACTGGGCTTCTAGTCAGTTAAAAATTGGATACAAAAGCTCCACATTTCACATTCCATTTAAAACTGAATATTTTCTGTTATCTTTTCTGTAACAAGTTTGGTGTTACATCTGAAATATGATCTCTAGTTAAACAATATGTCTACAATAACATTTTAATTCATATTCCTTAAAATGACACATTTCTCCTCAACATCTTTGAGTACTTGTTGAAAGCTTTCATGCACTCCAAGTATACAAAGGGTTACACTCCTATATTAATCCTCTCATTTCAATTAGCTGTAACCTATTGATAAAGACTTCCCTATGTACTGACATCTTAGCATTTCTGTCCTGCAACTTGCTGATGTTCAATAAGTTTGACTTGTACATGCAGGCTCCCTCCCATGGAGAGTGTTGACAGGAGTTTTCTTCTTGTGTGTTCTTCTTTGATGTTTGGTGAGGGCTGACCTCTGGCTGAAGGTTTTGCTACATTCATTACATTCATAGGGTTTTTCCCCTGTGTGAATTCTCTGATGTTTTGTGAGTGCTGACTTTTCATAGAAAGTTTTCCCACATTCTGGACATTTGTAGGGTTTCTCTCCTGTATGAGTTCTCTGATGTACAACAAGGTTGGACTTCACACAGAAAGACCTCCAGCATTCATCACATTTATAGGGCTTCTCTCCTGTGTGGGTCCTTTGATGTTGAGTAAGGTTTGATTTCACACAAAAGGTTTTCCCACATTCATTACATCGATACGGTTTCTCTCCTGTGTGAGTTCTCTGGTGCACTGTGAGGGCTGACTTCTGGCAGAAGGATTTTCCACATTCATTACATTCATATGGTTTTTCTCCTGTGTGAGTTCTCTGATGTTCAGTGAGGTTGGACTTCACAAAGAAGGACTTTCCACATTCATTACATTCATAGGGTTTTTTCCCTATGTGTGTTCTCTGATGTTGAGTAAGGTCTGTTTTTTTATGGAAGACTTTTCCACAATTATTACAGTCATAGGTTTTCTTTCCTTTGTGAACACTCTGATTTTGAGTGAGGTCTGACTTATAACTTAAAGCCCTCCCACTTTCATTACATTTATTGGTTATTTTCCTCAAGTGTGTTCTCTGATGTTGACCAAGTTTCAACTTCTTGCAGAATTTCTCACACTTGTTATCTTCAAAGCTTTTCTCTCCTGTGTTAATTCTCTGGTTTTGAGTGAGGCATGACTTCTTTATGGCTTTCTCACTTTCATTACATTCACTGTGTTTTTCTGTTGTATGAATTTTCTGATGTTGAGTAAGGCATGACTTTTCATGGAAGGATTTCCCACATTTATTACAGTCATAGATTTTCTCTCCTCTGTGAGTTATCTCATCTTGAGCATGGCATGACTTCTGCAAGGCCTCCTCACTTTCATTATACTCATCAGGTTTTCCTCCTGTGTGCATTCTCTGATGTTGAGTAAGGTTTGACTTCTTGCTACAGGATTTCTCCAATTTATTACATTCGGCATGTTTCTCCCCTATGTGAGTTCTCTGATGTGCACGTTTCGACTTTACCCATGAAGATTTCCCATTTTTACTGGATTCGTGTGGCTTCCTTTCCCTCGGGGTTCTCAGATAAGCACTGAACTTTAACTTTTGCTTGAAGGTTGTTCTATGTTTTTTACCTTCAGAGGGGTTCTCTCCTGTGGGAACTCCCTTATATGTAACAAAGGCTGTTTTTCTGTGAAAGGCTTTCCCACAATTATTGTATGTAAGAAGTTGCTCTGAAGCTGAATTCTTCTGATGTTGACTAAAGTAATCATTATGACTGTGGGAATTCTTTTGATCATTGTCACAGGGCTTGCTCATTGTATGAGTTTTCTCATGCATAGTGTCAAGGAATACACATCCATTGAAATCATTGGGCTTTTTTATTGCATGGATTCTATTACTAAGAATTAATTCTGAAACACTTTTCAAGTTTGTTCCAAATGAGTCACATTTATGAGATATTTTTCTTGAAGACACTGGGTTTGTGGCCATATTAAATTCTTCTCCTAAGGTTTTACTTCTCTCCTTAGTCATTGTTTTGTTGTTGCTGAATAAAACTTGCTTTGGATATATATCTTCATTTTCTTGGCTTCTCTCTTTCATGTTATTGACTTTCTGGACTTCTATAAATATTAAAAATTAACATACATTATAAATCTTAACATATTCTTAAAGCAATGGGGTTGTATACAAGTGCCCTATATTGAGTTGATTTTTAGGTTTTAGACATAGTCTTCTGGGACAAAAGAACTCTTAAGCAAATATTTAACTCTTTTGTTTGGTAACATGAAAACAAAGACAAAAACATATACCATAGTAGAAAAAGAGAGAGAAAGCTGAAAATTAATCAAGTAGATTTGGCTTGTTACAATGTAACATTAAAACAGGTAGAGAGTTTGAAATAAAGCAGAAGGAATGGTGAACTGAGAACAAAGGATGTCAGGAAAATAATTGATCCAAGGATGGAGGTTAGTCAAAGAATGGGGCAAATATAAGGGACACTGAGTAGGGAGGCAAGGAAGACTAAAGGGTGACCAAGGGACGTATCAGAGCAAAGATTAAGTTTGGGGGCAGATTAAAGACTAGAACCTTATCTTCCTCTCCTTATGCTTTAACTAATGCAGCAGGATCCTTCTTACAGTCTACATGCTTCTAATCGCTTTCTCTTCTTTCCCATTCTGTATACCAACTCACACATATATTTATAAAATCACTCATTTCCTCTGGTCAGTCCTATAGTTCTGGCTCCATCTCTCCATATAGCTGTGATATGGAAAAACAATGTCCAAAGAGAATGTTAAAATATATGAGAGGACAAGCCATGCTTACAACAGGATCCAACTCCCCTCTGTGTTTTGATTGCTGGTGCTATCATTTGATCTATCAGAGTTAATCAATATAATCTGTCCTGATCGACACTCTACTTTTTCCACTTTCAGTCTGCAGTCACAATACTAATATTTATTTCCACGTTTATGTCATGTTTTCTTCCTCTCTGATTTCTCCTTGTCTGTGGGAGCTCAAGTACCTAGCTATTCAATTTGATCCTAGGACCAATACTAATTTTCATCTTAAAAATTTTTGGCTTTGGGTAATTATTGTTATCCTCTGCTATTCTCATTTTATTCAATAACATCAACTGTGTGCTTAAAAGCTTATGACTTTTCTGTAGCACATAGAGGAAAATTTGATGTTGAATGTTTATACTTAAGAGTTGATACTAGTTTCATATGCCTAAATTCACAATCATGTTCAAATGGTCATCCCACAAGTCTACAATATTGTTAGCTTCTACAAAATCAGGATATTTAATCCCATATATTGCGCATTTCCAAACACAAACCCACTTTCATGTTCTTCACTGAGTTAGCACACATTCCATCCTTAGCTCTTCTCGGAATCCAGGCATCCTTCAGGGCAATGCTACTTTCCGTTGTTTAAAAAATATATATCCTCTGCCCTAACCAGTTTGGCTCAGTGGATTGAGTGTTGGCCTGCGGACTGAAGGGTCCCAGGTTCAATTCCCAACAAGGGCATGTACCTTGGCTGTGGGCAGGTCCTCAGTAGGGGGTGTGCAGAAGGCAGCTGATTGATGTTTCTAACTCTCTATCCCTCTCCCTTCCTCTCTGTAAAAAATCAATAAAGTATGTTTTACATATATATATCCTCTCTTTTAAATTCCATTTGTGATAAATATTACAAGTAAATACTATCTGTACAATATGCTCTCACATTATTTCCTAAGCACTTCTACTTCCATGATCTACTTCCTGATTTCCATTGCTTTTGGCAGTTTTCCACCTTTAAAATTTGTTATTATTATGTTTGAGATTTCAGCTGCCTCTCACCTACAACAAATATAGAGTTGACTTTTCTCCTTGTGGCCTCTGGGTAATTTTCAGGAAAAGAAGAGACAAGGCTGACTTTACACTTGCATCTGTATATTGGAATCCACTCCTTCCTTCAAAAAACACTATTTATGTGGCTTCTGAACACCCCTCTCTCCTGACTCTCCCCCTATAGAGTGGGTGCTCCCTCTCAGTCTCTCTTGCTAGAATCCCTAGTCTTCCTGACTTGCAAATGTAGTGCTTAAGGGCATAGTTCTTGACTTCTTCTCTTACCCATTGTCTCCCTCACAGTAGAATTCAGTCTTTACCAGGCCTGTAAAGTTTTGCCCCCAGGTAACTCTCTGCCATCACTTGCTAATTTCTCCTCAATAAACCCTCTCTGACTTCCTTGCTGTTCCCTGATTACGCCAAGTGCACTCCTGTCTCAGAGGCTTGGCACCGGCTGCTCCCTCCATCTGGAAATCTCTCAGGTAACCCATGTCTCCCTCCACTCCACTTTTATTTTTTATTTTTATTTTTTTCCCCCTCCACTCCACTTTTCTTCCTCCTAAAAGAGGCCATTCCTGACTTCCCTGCCAATCTCTATCCCCTTCACCTGACTTTAACTTTCAGGGTGCTAATTACCACCAGGCATACTGCATATTTCTCTGCTCACCAGGTCTACTGATTGGACTAGAGACTTTGCTTTTGTATCCCTGTTCTTGGAACGTGACTGGTGCACAGCAGGCATTAAATAACTAAATATTTGTTGAATAAAAGAATGTATCAATAAATGCATCTCTATAGAACAGGGGTCCTCAAACTTTTTAAACAGGGGGCCAGTTCACTGTCCCTCAGACCGTTGGAGGGCAGGACTATAGTTTTAAAAAAAACTATGAACAAATTCCTATGCACACTGCACATATCTTATTTTGAAGTAAAAAAACAAAACGGGAACAAATACAATATTTGTATTTGCATGTGGCCCGCGGGCGGTAGTTTGAGGACCCCTGCTATAGAGTGTGTAGCACTGGTGGGAAGGTGAACAATGGCCATTTGTTGAACAGAGAGGAAAACAGAGAAATAAAGGTCTAAGACAGCCGTGGGCAAACTACTGCCCGCTGGCCGGATCCAGCCCGTTTGAAATGAATAAAACTATTGAAAAAAAAGACCGAAAGACCGTACCCTTTTATGTAATGATGTTTACTTTGAATTTATATTAGTTCACACAAACACTCCATCAATGCTTTTGTTCCGGCCCTCCGGTCCAGTTTAAGAACCCATTGTGGCCCTCGAGTCAAAAAGTTTGCCCACCCCTGGTCTAAGATGAGGGAGGCAGCAAATGGATACCACAAAAACCAAGCAAATCTCTCTCTATACATGTCAAACAGAAAATTTAAAAATTGTATATGAAAGTGAAATTGGAGGTTTCATAGCTAAGGTATGGTACTTATTTGTCTTTAGTCATGTCTAAAAGTGGAGCCTCTATAAGAGATTTCTGAAACATATTTCAAAGATACCAACCCTTGACCTGGACTCTTAGGATTCAGTTTCTACCAGTTGCCTTGACCTGACTTCATTAACTCACCTGGATGGCTCTGACTCGGGAACTCTCCCTTTACTACCCATGGTTCTTCTCCTTGCTCCAACTTGAATATCAGCTCAGGTTTGGTGACACAGTGCCCTGTTATGGGAAATGACAGGGGACTTGGCAACGTTTCTTAGGGTTCAGGCCCTTTGAGGAATCAGACGGGAGAAGCTTTAGAAGCTGAACAATGATGGAGCCCTCGTCGAAAAAGGCTCTTTCCCTGGGGAGGTGAGAACACAGTATTCTTTCATGTTCCTTAAAAGGATCTTTTAATCCGAATTCTCAAGCCGAAAACTCATAATATTCTACATTGATGTGGTTCCTAAGAATGGAAGTGCATGCTGTTGGGAGTTGCCTGGGGCTGTGCTTACCCAGGGACAACAGGTGCCTGTAGTTCTCCAGCATCACGTCCCTGTACAGGTGCCTCTGAGCAGAGTCCAGCAGCTGCCACTCATCCCGGGTGAAGGCCACAGATATATTCTCGAACGACACTGACCCCTGTAATAGCCCAATGCTGCTCAGTCTGAAGTGCTCAAGATCAGAGGGCATGAGAAAGACATCTGGGAACGAATCCTACTGTGCTCACTGTTAAAAGTTTACCAGGCAATATTACAAGGGATGTCTATGTACTTGTGGGAAAGACAGAAATCATAACAGAAATACTCTGCTGCCATGCTTGTTTATTAATTCATAAAGCAATCTGGGTTCCTCTGCCTGCCTAGAACTGTTCTGGTTTTGGAGGACACCAAGGAGAATAAGACACTGGTCCTGGTCTTAAGGCATTTACAGACTGATGAGGCGAATTTCTACAGAAATAGACATGTGCAATAGTGAATTATGGGAGCCATGAAAACCTGTGTGGACAAAGTGAGGTCACAAAGGGGAGAGAGGGTTATATTTCTTTGCGTGTTTTCTCAGGTTATGCTGCATTGAGGAGATAAAGATGTGGTTGCACGCCCACAGTGAGTTTTGTGTGAATAAGAGACAACAGTATAAGC